GACCCACTCTCACATCTTTAAAATAATATACCCCATCACGTTCCTCACCGGCTCCAATCAGAGTCTTCGAAGAACGGTCCTGCAAAACACAAATAGCATCAGTAAACACTGCAAAGCAATTCGTATGCCTCAGTAGCTTTGACACAGAGATTAGTGTGCAGTCTAATTTAGGAACAAATAGCACATCTCTGAGTGAGATACTATTGCTAAGAATCAGATCTCCCATCTTAACCGATGTCGAAGTTCCTCCATCTGCAAAACCTACAACACAAGGTGAGGTGGCCTTCACATTAACAAGCTGTCATATGTTGCCAGTCATGTGATGTGAAGCCCCAGAGTCTATTATTACATCACCAAAACTCTTACCAGACAACTTCTCAGACTGTCCATTTGATTTTCCTTCATTGATAATCTGAGTAATTGCCCTCCACTGATCAGGAGTTAGATCGGTATTGCCTGACCCATATGAGCTTGTCGCGTGTGCTGTATTGGCAGAAGTACGACCTCCTCCTCTTCCAGAACCACCACGTCCTCTTCCTGATCCTCTACCACGTTTATCATTTATCCATTCGGGATACCCAATGATTTGCCAGCAATTATTTTTCTCGTGTCCTGTCTTTCCACAATTTGAACATATACGATCCCTTGCTCTGTTTCCATAACCAGAACCACTGTTTTCTGATCTTGTACCAAACCCAGGACCATCTCGACTGTCGTTTCCATCTCGTCGTGATCCATACTCTTCTGTCTGTGTCTCTCGTCGAGATATAAACCCCATAGCTTCTTGTGACACTGCTTCTCTAGCCTTGGCAGCATTTAAACGAGCTTCTTCTCTTATTACTTTCGCGTACACCTTTCCTAGGTCCGGTAACTCATCAGCCTCTATTATGGCAGTCACTACGTTGCCAAACTTCGAATCATCAAGTCCCATAATGAATTGATGCACTCTTTCATCTTCTCTTTCTTTTTCATATGTTGCAGCCGCTGAACAGCTACACGCCGGTGCTGGTCTATAAGTCTGCAACTCCTCCCACATCACTGCTAACCGACCATAATAGTCGATTACGGCTTGTCCGTTTTGTCGACAAGACGCCAATTGCTCCATCAGTTGGTGAATACGTACTTTATTTCCAACTTCAAACCTTTTCTTCAAATTTTCCCAAAGTTTATTAGCTTCAGTAATAAACGTCACCGTTGATCGGACTCTGGGTTCTATGGATGATCTGATCCATCCTACGATCATCGAATTCACACTTAACCACGACTCCAAATCTGGACTGTCGTCTCCTGGTTTAGGTAAGGTTCCGTCGAGAAACCCTGTTTTCTTCTTTGCCCTAAGAGCGTTCAACATCTCCATGGCCCATTCATTATAGTTATCACCCTTCAGCTGCACGGACGTGATCTTCGCACCTGGATTATCCGATGAATACAACGCATACGGTGAGTTCACCATCGTCTCTGCTTTCACCGCAAGTTGAGTTGATTCATCATTATTATCACNTTTCTTCTTTGCCCTAAGAGCGTTCAACATCTCCATGGCCCATTCATTATAGTTATCACCCTTCAGCTGCACGGACGTGATCTTCGCACCTGGATTATCCGATGAATACAACGCATACGGTGAGTTCACCATCGTCTCTGCTTTCACCGCAAGTTGAGTTGATTCATCATTATTATCACCCATTGTTAATCACGAGTATCGCTCAACTTCTTTAACCAAAAACGTTGAAAAACTTTTTATGCAGATCTCTGCTCTGATACCATGTAAATATTACTGAAAGACCTGATCTTATTCATGTGTTTACAAGCGTATGTATAATACAATGCTAACCGACTTAGGATCTTTAGGATATATCCTACTAATTACATCATTATCTTAACTTAAATATAACTAACTCTTGTTATTATCCTCCAATACTTATTATTTTTGTTCGTAATCAACTTTTTCTCTCTTATTGTTGCACATCATAATTATGCGAAGATTGAAGAAGTCTCCGACGCAGTTGAATATTAAGTGCCGTGTAAAACAAGAAACTCAAAAGTCGACATACAACGTGTAAAGTAGCATCAAATGATAGATAATACACAATCAACCAACTTTGCTGATGATGAAATTATGAGAATGTAATATTAGAAACCAATTAGATTATAAGTTTATGGTTTGTATTTTATGACTTCCCATTATCAGATTCCAGTTCCACCATTTTAGTAATATATATATAGAATAAACAAAAAAATGTTATTTTGCAGTTAATTTTCGCTTAATAATTTCCTAGATTAAAGTTTGTTTCTCTAATTTACCCACCACATACATAGCTTTCGAAGAATGCTATAAAATGTTAATACGAATAGTTAGCTGTGCTAAAGAAGAAAAAAAAAAACTGTTTGGTTAGGAACTTCACCTGCATATTGCATTTGAGGACATCGAGTGGCGTAACCGCCGTATGTGTGACTCCGCAACTCAAGATCCCACCGACCGTACACGCCGCGAAATACGCCGGAGAGTACAATTCTACTTTCTCATTCGGCGCGTGAATCGCAAAAGTTGGACCGCTCGATTTTAACACTGAAGAAGTCTTCAGCGATCTCAAAGGCTGTGATTTGCGTCGCGTCATGTTCGTGGCTGGCTGAAACAGACGTTGATCTTCGGAAGAGTAGAGAAAGCTCGGGATCAAGGATCTGCTCGAGTTTCTGGACTCTGACATTTCCCGAGGATGAGGAAAGAGAAAATATGTCTTCTGTTGGTAGTTATTACTTTAATTTTTAACTGGAGCGAGATGTCTCTTTGTTGTGGAAAGTGACAAGATCTCAAGTTGAATTTATAGGTGCTGATAGTTTCGTAATGAAATGTCATATTAACCACCTCTATTGACTGACGTCACAAAACATTCAAATACTCCTTTGTCACGACTCTTTGCGTGTCAACAAGGATTGCATTTGCACTACTTAATATAGTCCTTAAACCTTTGATAAGAATATTTTACTTGCAGTTGACAATTCCTAGTAATAGTATGGTTTACATACAAGAATATTTTACTTGCAGTTGTCAATTCCTAGTAATAGTATGGTTTTACATACGACATATGTGTAGTATCTTTTAGTGGTTAGGGTACGCGGACTAAGTTGACAGATTCATAAAAAGACTTATCAACATAATAAGACCAGATCATTTCTGACTTTCCTTTGAAATCAAATGGAATAAAAAAATATAATCACAAATGTGTGGTTTAGTGGTAGACGAATTTTGAGAAGATAAGAGATCTGGGTTTGAAACAATCCCATGACACTAAACATGTATGTCTTATGTATATGAGATTACTAGGATAAACCCGCCCGCCCGGACGGGCGGGTGAGTAAATAAACAATTAGTACAAATTTATTTAAAATGTTTGATTTTTTTAACTAAAAGTATTATTGATATTCATAAGTTAATTATAACAATTTAACTATTTCTTATGTTTGCTCTCAGTAGTATATTTGAAATAGATGAAAAAATACATGTTGAAATTTATGGTATTGTAAAATCGTTTTGAAAATAAAAAATGAGTAACACGATTCACAATAAGATAAAAAATAATAATTTAAATTACTTTTTCTTCTTGTATGATTTGTGTAATTTTTTATGATTCATGTATTTAATTCTGAATGTTGTAATTAATGTTTTCAATTTGTTTTGATAAATACATGTTTCTCAAGAAATAGTCCTTTGATTCTGTTTTTGGACAACAAATAGTCCTGGATTCATTCATTCAAAGATAAACGACAAATGACTTAGGTTAAATGTTATTATAGACGAACCATTAAGACCTCCAAAGTCGGCATGCTTGTTGGCTGTTGCTTTTGAATACGATCAAGCTTTATAAAATCTCTCGTGTTATATCATCTCCAGTCGGAGCATGACCATGTTTTCTCCACATTATTATCAATAATGTCCTCAGGTACGACAGTCAAAAGGGGACAAAAATTAAACAACCAAAATAGCGTTGATCCAATTTCCAGCAACAAATCAGTTTTTCACATTATGGAACATAGCTTGCCTCTAATCTCAAATCACAAAGCCTTCTTTAGCACACACCTTCCTGAGTCGTTGAAACTTGAAAAGAAGTCATACACCAAAATGGTTTATCTCCGGGATAGTAAGGAGAAGCCCATTCCACTTCATTTTTCTTTATTAAAGATTCCACTTAGATACAATTTTCAATATTAAAAAAATAAAATAAAGAAGATTCCATTTAGATTCGGTAAAGCATTTCCTTTCATACCACATAATTTTTCGTTTCTCCGGTTTGTTGTGGATATGTTTTTGTTTTGTAGTGTTTCTGCCGTGATGATACAATGGACATGATGGCTGTTCCCTCAAGTTTCTTCTAATCTCTTTCTTGTCAACTTATGGAATACCTGAGCTCTCTCTGTCAGCAAATTAAAGTCCTCCCGAGACAGTGTGATGCTCTGAGCTGAGCTGCAAACTCAGAAGACGCGACCCCTATAAACGAAAGCTTGTTAGAAATAATAAATTTAATAATCAATACATCAACATAGTGGAATGAAATCAACAAACCAAATGATAATCATCTCTCTAATCAAAGGTGTATTACTAATAAAAAAAACTATCCACTTAAAAAAAACATCAAACAGAAGTATGTATCTTTTTTTTTCATCGTTGGTTTGTGTACTAATAATAAATATATGGCAACACATAACCAAACTACTTACTATGTTGCAATTGCACAAAATGTTGCTTTCTAATACTGTCCTTCTCCTGTATAAGCCCCCTAAACACTGCTTCAAAGTCCATCCAAAGCAGCTCGCAAACTCACTCGATATATTTGTTCTTTCTACGTGAAATAAACTCTTCCGATATTGTCACGTGAATTGCTTCCATCCACACAAAGTTGTTTCAGAATTTAAGACCAAGAGAAGTGTTATGTAAATATATATATATATATACTAATATAGTAAATCTTTTGTTCCTCAAGACAGTGGAAGAAGATGGATTGCTGTGCCATTTCCTCTTCCTCAGATTGATGAACCAATTGTTTTTCTGCTTACCGGTTAATGAAATTGAGATAAAGAATTAGAAATAACATTAACTAACACTGGATCAAACTAATATCAAAACAGAATAACACAATCGAGATAAAAAAAAGAGAGAGAAGAGAGCTTTCTAGTGAAAACATCTCCCGAATGTGTTAAGAAATATTGTTAAATCAAAAGGTTATTTATTCTGAATTTTAACACAACCTTTTGTTTTTAAGCACATGATGTTCAAAAGTTTTCACTGGAATTATCTTGGCTTGAGGAGGAGCATGTCCTCATCCATAAGATCTCCGCCGCCTTTGACGTTCATGGGTTCCCAAAACCTCAGAAGTAGAACCTCGACGGAGGAACAACACCCACCAGCTTGCAAATCACCAAGGAAGAGAGATGCGTTAATCATTCTATAGTGTCAATTGATATTATGTGTTGTGAGGATGTTATTTACTCGTACCTTTTTATTCTCTAGATGCACCGCCTGGAAGAGGGGAGATGCAATGAATGTGATATTGTGGTCGAAGTTGGATGAATGAGTTAAGAACCTCTTTTATGGCAGTGTATCAATTTTGGTCGTAACGTCGCCATGGAGAAGAAGATGAGATGAAACGACACTGAATTACTTCCATCCTCGAATCGTAGCGATAAATGGTCTCAAATGACTCTTAAGAAAATCCATTGACGGAGAGGAGAGGAAGGTCGAAGAACACTAAGAACCCTAGATTGCGGGGGAAGAAGAAGTGGAAACGACAATACACAGACGACGGGCCAGGAAAAAAAAACCGTGGGCCCAAAAACAAATATTGCCCATAACCACACCCAGTTTTCCCTATTGGACAGAACGCATCGTTTTATTGGATTGGACAAGTGTCCCCTTCTCCTTACCCTATTATCTGACGTGGCAGAGATGGCGAATTAATGCGTGACACGTGGCATTTTCGAGATGAAGTATTTTCCTAGCTGGCAGCACAGGAGGGAAGCAACTTTTCTTTATATAATTAGATGTTTTGAGATTCATTTAAATTTTTCTCTTGGAAGATTAATCTAGATCTTTTTTTCAAACACATATTCATTTAAATATTAAATGGCCTCAGACCCAAGTCAGCCCATTACAGGTTTGCTACAGACGAAAAAAACATAGAAAGGGAAAGCTTTGCCAACAAGTCGGCTTTGGTGTTTCTCACTCGAGGGATATGTCCGAAACATATCTCGACAAATCCAGAGGCGATTGTTTGGATATCTTTTACAATACAAACAATTTTTTTGATCTGGCCGTCGCTGTTAATAGCTCTGATGAGCGTTGAGTTTTCAGAGAGCATCCTGAGATTTGAGATCTCAAGGTTCACTGCAGAGAGGAGTCCCGATCGAAGAGCTAGAGCTTCTGCAATCAGGGGAGAGTTGATGGAGTCATGTGTCGTCGATCCTTGTTCACAGCGGTGACCATTCGATTCCGTGATGATCCATGCAAGCCCCGTTTTTTTGTGATCTTGTCGTATGCCGCGTCGGATTTGCAGATCTTACCACTAGAGGTTTCAATCGGGTTCAGGTATGGTCTATGTACTGATTGGGTTGTTCTTATTGTCGGTTTTTTTTCTCCTTGTGCCAGATTCCATTCCCGTGCTAATCTGATACCTTTTGTTGCTACCTCTCTAGGTGAGAGGACTCTATTCTCAAAGATGGCTAAGTTTTTAGCCAACCATAGAGCCCAGAGAATCCACGGGAGAATATTGTTTGTCACGACTGTTGGTGGGAGACATGTTGCCTGTCTGAAAGCCACCACCGCTTCTTTGAAGGTGCATCCTGTAGCTAGGTGAACTACTTATTTTAGAGGTATCAGTTCCTACAATTCTTGAGCAAACGGGCAAGCAAAAAAGGTATGGTTGGCTGATTCTGTCTCCTTACATCTGATGCATCGTGTTTCCGCTTGAATTCCTCCATAATGTAGTTGTTCTCCTAGAGGTATAGCTTTTTGAATTACTGACCAGAGAAAGATTTTCATCTTAGGTGAGCTGACTAGTGACCACACATCCTTGATCCAGTCAAAGCTATTGGGATTTTGGAGATTTCGTTCCACGTTTCTCATAGTAGCTGTGTAGTATCCCGATCTTGTGGTGTAGAGGCCAGATTGAAGTGGTTGCCATATATATATCCTCTGCGTTTGAAAGGCTAGGTTGCAGTAGTTGGATTTCCTTTGCCACATGAGGTAATAGTTCGTCGATTCTCTTCTTGTTCCATCTCATATCCGAGGTTAGGAGGTCAGCCACCTTTAAGTATAGAACAGCTTCTGGTATAGGGCCAAAAGGTTTAACATGTTCTTTTAGGGAAATCCACGAGTCCTTCCACACCTTAGTAGTTTGGCCGTTACCTATAGCCTTTCCCAGGTCTTCCCTTAAGAGATCTCTACCGTGTAAAAGGCTTCTCCATCCGTGAGAACACATTGCAGGAACCTCAACATCTAGGAAGTATTTGTTATGGCAGTATTTCCCTAGGAGTACCCTAGCCCGCAAACACTCTGGTTTAGTAAGAATTCTCCAAGCCTATTTTGCGAGAAGAGCTTAGTTAAATAGCTGGATATCTCTGAGTCCTACACCTCCTCATGCTTTAGGTTTAGTGAGTCTATCCCGAGCCACCCAACATGTTTTTCTTTTACCATCTGAAGAATCCCACCAAAATC